CAAATGAGTAGAAAGAAAGAAAAATGTACAATTTCGAAATGGATTTTAAGAAATCTTTTTCTGTTGCTGTTCTAATGTAAGAATTGATGACATAATTTTTTTAGAGGCAAGGTCTGAAAACGGATGTGAAGTGTTGTTTTTTTGGTTTGAAATAGGGTCAGGATTTGAAGAACCGGCAGGCACACCCCCACCAAAATTTCCCAGGAGTACCCCCCGGGACGTTAACGAAGAAATTACAGTGGAACCTCGATATAACGAAGGGCCAAGGGACTGGCAATATGTTAGCCTGCGAGCCAAGCTCTCCTGGGCGCTCTGGCGGCGGGGCGGGAGAGAGAGCGCTAGAGCGCCCCGGAGGCTCGCAGGCTAGCAATATGTGTCCGCTGTAACGAGGTTTCGTTATATCGAGGTTCTTTCCCCTATATTTTACTACCACTGGGGTAAAAAAAATCGTTTGTAATACCAAGAAAATCGTTAGAGGTTCGCAATATCCGGAGGCTCCACTGTACCTATAAATACCAAAATGCATAACGACGTCAAGTGACTATCGTAACAATTGATCATGAATGATTAATCTCGCGCTTAGATCATCGCGGGTATTTGATATCAAGTGATTGTTTGTTTATCTGTAATACAACTACCATATCGATATCAAGTGACTATTGTATCAATGCATTGATTCATCTCGCGCTTAGTAGATCGTGGGTATTTGATATCGAGTAAGTTTATCTATAGCCTGCGTGGCAGGCGTTAAAAGGGGAAGGGGGAATTTGGGAGAGCGAGAGCGCGTGGGGCGCGCGAGGGAGAAAGGAAACGCGCGCGCGCGTGGTCTCGCGCCCTAATTCCCTTCCCCTTAGCCTGCGGAGCAAGCGTTTCCAATCGAGTTATTGCGCGAAAGTTAGAGCGGGAGCAACTCGTCCCAACTTTCTCGACGAACTCGCGAGGAAACGCCTACTACGCGGGCTACTTCCCCTTCCCTTTCGAACGCCTGCCACGCAGGCTAGTTTATCTATAATACAACTACCATATCGATGTCGAGTGACATGCCCGTATCAACTGATTGATTTTTCTCGCTCTTAGATCGTGGGTATTTGATATCGAGTAAATTTTCTGTTTATCTGTAATGAAAGTTTTAGTTTTCCGGGTCTTAGTTTTCCGGGCCTTGGTTTTCCGGGTCTTAGGTCTTACGTCTTGGTTTACCAGACACCCGTAATCCTGGCGTAATACCACTACCATATATATCGATGTCAAGCGGACTATATATTGAAAGATTGATTAATCTCGCGCTTAGATTGCGGATTATCGAATAATGTTTAGTCTGTTTAGTCTGTAATACAGCCACAATACATGGGCACCCAACGAAAGTTTTAGGTAAAATATCAGTGATCAGAGAAACAGATGTTGCCTAGAATTTTCTATTACATGAGACGGCTAAAAATGTTCTAGATGACAGGCCATTCATGTACAACTTTCGAAGGTCATCTAACAAATGAATAATTTAAGAAGTGTTAATTCTTCTTCTTTGGAACCTAGTCTTTTAACAAATAGCCACAAATAAATGGGCCTATGTCATTGAAAAGAAACAATATTTTATCTTTTGCATTTGAATTAATAAAGCTTGGATATCTAGAAGTAATATCATCATAGAATTTTTCTCTTGCGCGATCGCGGAGACTATCTGAAGGTCCTGAAGCGCGTTTCCTTCTCAACATACATTAGATAAACAATTTTGACATATTCTGGAGTTTTCAGGAATTTTTTGGACACAATGACCACCAGTTTCAATTCTTCTTAATTAGTATACCAAAGGACTAGAGTTAAAGCGTTGCCTAACAGACACAACGTTTAAAAGTAATTGATTTTTCTTTATGAAGGTCGGTTGGAGCTCAGCAAAATTCCCTTCTCACTTTGTTTTTAAAGAAATTGGATCGTTGATTGCATGTGTTGAGCGAGTGGGGCGCGAGACGAGCGCGAAGCGTGAGAAAAAACACTCCGCCACGGTTTTTTATTGTCATGAACCAAGAACGAGAAGTCCAAAGACTACTGCAAAGCTGATTTAAAACAACGTGTATTGTTTTTTATAACAATATTTCGGCTGGCCATACCAGCCTTCTTCAGGTTTACAGATGTTACTAGCGGGATCTTCGTCCACGGTTTTTGCAGTTAATTGAATCTTTTATTGTCATGCCCGCTCGACGAGTCTAAGGAGAAAATAGATCAGTGGCCCGGGGGCCCGGGACCCCCCTTATTTTTAGACCAAACCGAGGCCTGAAGGGCCGAAAAAAGTTTTTTTTGGAGACCGCCCCGCCCCCCCTCCCACTTATCTCAAGGTCTGGATCCGGCACTATAGTTTCACTATAGATGGTCTGTGAACAGGGCGAGATTACAAAGTGATTCAACGCCTTGTTTATGTACTTGTATTCAATGAGGTGAGAAACATCAGTACGCTTGTGTTCGGCAAAAGAGAGTTTAAGCAGCGACGTTTTCGAGCGACGCACGTCAACTTCGGAAGTGGACTTTTTGCACACTTGAGCCGTGATTTTAAACAAACTTTTGGGCAAATCGCCTCTATAAGAGTAAAGACGCTTGGCCATGCATACAAATTCTGTGGCCGGTCAAGGCATCCTTTAAAAAAGAGGAAAAAAGTTCACTTCCGGTTGATGTGCGTCACTCAAAAACGTTTTTAAACAGTCGTCCCATGATCAATCTCATTACTACTTCATATTAAAATAAAAGCCAAGAAAAGTCCGGGAAGCCACCACTCTGAAAGGAAGTTGAAAAACGGACCCTAATTATACCATAAAACTTGTAGGAGCCGGCTTGCACAGTGTTTATTTTGGCGCTCCCTTAGAATAGAAAGATCGATAAATAATGGTGTGTAAATAGGCTTAGACTACGAGTAGTCCCCCATTTTTCCTCAGGGATAGTAGAGCCAGCGAAACGCGAGCGCGCGTGAAAATCACCCCACGCGAGAAAAGGCGGCACGCGTGGGGCGATTTTCACTCGCGCTCGCGTTTCGCTCACTCTACTATCCCTGAGGAAAAATGGGGGACTACTCGTGGTCTAAAATAGGCTTTTTCCGAGTCAGTGCCCTAAGCCTATGCCTCCGTCAAAGCGAGAGGCTATGAGCAAAGCTACTAATATGAAAATGATTTGTTAGTCTCATGCAAATAAAACTCATTTTCACCAGCATTGTTTTGCAATCAGTTTCCTTTTGAAAGTGGGAGTTTTTGGAACTTGGAAATGGCCTATTAGCCGCTGACAAATCGTATAGACCTAGCGGGGTTGAAAGTGGTGCAAGTCTGGTAACCCGGCTAAATGCCTGCGATTTGATTTCAACCACTTCATTTCTGCTGGTCTTTCTCCCAGATGATGTTTTGTCATCAATGCAATGAATTATTCTTGCCGGGAAAAAAGGGAAATTATCAGAGCCCAGAGGGTTTGGCAATCGGATTCTTATGTTTTTAGTTATGCGAGCTCTGCTTTGAATTTCTTTGTTGAGAATTATTTATGATTTGAGAAACTGCATCCCACATATCTGGTATCGCGACATCTCCAAGTCGCCTTAAAAACGATGATTTCACTTGTTTTTACTTAAACAGTTCTTAGCATCAACTGAACGTTTATCCTTCCCGAGGCAAGGACTCTGGGATACAAAACCTCGGAAGAACGAAGAAAGCTGAAGAAAAGAAGCGAAATGAAACTGTTTTCAGTGCTACCATTATTTCTCTCAATCAGCTTATGCTTACCATGTACTATGTACTTCATAAATCAGTGTATGAGAACTACAGACCGTTAGGGTTCCTCTAACAAGATGGGAGAAACTAATCTGGGGATTAAGAATTTAAAGGAACTGTTTCACTGTAGCTGTTAGTCGTTTTTGCCGAGTTTTGCCAGCTATTGCTAAGAAACTAAAACTTAGGGAAGAAATTACTTCCAAATGGCAAATTCATTATATCTTCATGGCAATAATGTCTTAGTCTCAACGATGTACAAGGTGATAAAAGCAAAGGATCTAAAATTTGAAAAACTCACGGTTTAATAGGCTGAGAAACGAAACCAACTAATTTCATTAATGCGAAATCTTTTGTATTCGAGTGCATATATTTTGATCGGCCAGTTTAGTAATGGCAGAATTATGCTAATCTGCGAAATTTGGGCTTAATTTCGCGGCCCAGGCCTCTTGGTTTATTGACATGCCACTGAGAAATTTGTCTCTGCTCGTTATTTTATTATGTTATATTTTTATTTGAGCCGTTGTTGATTGGTGGAGAAAGTTGACTTTCAAAGATCCCAACTGAAAGCCAAAAAAGTTTGAAGTAAGTTCTGTTCTATTTAATTTTAAGGCGTCAAACTTAGATCCAGCTTTTGCTGGCCTAAATCTTTTCTTGGACTTGGATGCGAGGATCTTTGTTCATTAGTAAAATTTTGTTGTTCCCGCTTTGTAGCTCGTACGCGGCTATTTTGGATACTGAGAGCTTCGATCCCTAGCTGTATTTTTCTATCGGCATTTTAACGCCGTTCTCCTCCTTGCCTCTTCCCACGACTGCAATTCGTAATTTCACACGTGAAAATATGAAGTAAACGCCAAAATTAAGGTGCAACTTGTCACCCATGACATTATTTTAATTGTTCAGGCCATAAATCATTAGTATACCAAGTCTACCGCTGGTTAATCCATGATTCAATGCATTTCAATTTCTTTTAGGTTGTTCCTTGGGTTGTCCCAAAGGTTGGACGCAGTGAGTGGCTCTATCAAGAGCTGGGACTACGCCCAAGAGTTCTGCAAACAACATGGAGGAGAGCTTGTGAAGATAAATAGCTTTGAAGAAAACGAGTTTGTACTCAAGCTTGTTAACCAATGCCATCAATCTCTTAAACAGGTTTGGATCGGACTCAGACGGCAACCCGGTAAAGCAGGGAAGTTTCTCTGGTCTGATAACTCAATCCCTTTCTTCAAGAATTGGGCTCCTCATGAACCGAATGGAGGAGAAGGCGAACCATGCGGCCACATGTTCACGGGGCACAGGGACATGATCCGTCGCGCGTCTGGTACCTGGAATGATCTCCCTTGTAGGGGCTCGTCCTATCTTCCCAATGGTTTTGTCTGCAAGAGGCTGAACCGTCTATGCTCTTGATTGCTGATAAGGAAACTACACTCACGCGATCAAAGCCGACGTTAGTTGACGAGATTTCCCTTCTTCAGTCCTTTGATTCAAGTATGGACAATACATCCATGTAACCAGGCTAATAAAAAAAAGTTCAGTGTATAGATGTAAAATAATGTAATGAAGGCTTGAAAATTAAACAGTGATCGTGAAGATGATTCTTCTTTTCTCTTTAGTGAATTACCACTAACTATTTTCTTAAAACAGGGCTGAAGCCACGATTTTCTTTAGCAGGCGAAATTTCATGCAATCCACTGTTACATGACTTACCTCTCAGATCCTATCGTTTCCATATGTTTCCACATCCCCTGCTTACAATTGCTTTCTTATCAGTATGGTGAGGTGCGGATCTATGGGGAGGGTGCAGGGGGTGTGTACTGTCGCAATTTGTAATAATCATCGCACTTTGTAATACCTGTCGCAACTTGTAATACTACTGTGTCGCACTTTCAGCACTTTGTAATAAAAAAGTTGTCGCAATTTGAAATAACTGTCCATCGCACTTTGTAATAAACTAAGCTGTCGCAATTTGTAATAATTCCATCGCACTTTGTTATAAACTTGAATTATTTTCTTTGGTCAAACATGAATGTCTTCAGTTATATATTTTTCTGCCTTAATTAATCACATGACCAACGAGAATCGCTTTTATGAAAGACATGAAACTTCCTGTGACATGTCACCAAAAAAAAATATGAATAATTACATATATTTGAATTCAAAAATACTGTATTTAAATAACAAAAGCGACATTTAACAACAGAAAATTCATGAATAACCTGACATTCGTCGTCCCAATCCATGTTTGCTTGCCACGTGACTCGTGAAGTCTTTGTGGTGGGGGGGGGGAGTAATCCCATATACATGTATGGGCTAGGTAGGTAAGTACCGCTGAGGATCTCTAACCTTAAATAGGGTATCATTTTTTACCTTGTTGGCTTTGTGTCTATGGCTTTATCCTTAGATAGGGTAACTCATATAGTAATGGATGGTTTGGTTTATAGTCCTTTCAATTTTTTTGGAAAAAAATAATCCTGAACACGCTCGGAAGAATTGCAAGGTCTTACGAGTTGTACGCAGGAAAGAAGAATTTTTACTATCTCCACGGTATTTGCTTTAGAGGTTCCATAGAAAAATTGTTTTAAGATGGTATAATACTCCTTTTGCCCCTATATGGGACCAAATCAAGAGAGAATAATGGAACAAATGCATGGTCAGCCGGCTCAGTGTATCAGCCCAAGTGAGTTTTATAAAAACAAGTACATACAAAGGTATTGGCCAGCGACTAATTGGATTTTGTGTTTATGTTTCTGTTTTGGTTCGACGGTTTGCCACTGGTGACGTTTTTGTTTATTTGCAGTAACTTACCTTTTGGATTTTTACAGGAGTCGTCTGATTAAGTTGGCCAAAATATAGAAGCCACCATTACTTCTTTTAAGATTGCGCGTTAGACAAGGACGGTGTTGTGTCAAACTGTTATAAGATCTAAAAAGAAGAGCTCTCCTGCTGTCCTTATTTGAATGATGTAAGGCTGGATGTTACGATTTGTGGAAATTAAATGCCTACAATGGCTCGTTTGTGTCTAGTGTGTCTAGATTTTGTACTCTGACAACGCTCTGCCAAGTGGCACATCCCCGTATTGGCCATATAAGGGAGTACGCCCCCAGGTAACCATTGCATGCAAACCATCTAGTAGAATAGCAAGGTTTAAGAATACATAATTTCGTACATCAGATAACTAATCAACATTAATCAAGAGCCATAATCGTTCTTGCGTTAATTAAAAAAACAATGTTTAGGACCGTGCATAAAGCTCTTAAATGGTTTGAATGAGCGGAGATGACCTTGCAGACGTCATCATCTTTGTTTACAAAGTACCATTCATATTTTGGTATTATATTAATGTTGACTGAGTAAGTTGAATCACTCTCAAAAAATTATTACAAAGTGCGACGGAATTATTACAACAGCCTTTTTATTACAAAGTGCGACACGGTTTATTACAAATTGAGACAGGTATTACAAAGCGCAATGAATTTATTACAAATTGCGACAGGTATTACAAAGTGCGATGATTATTACAAATTGCGACCGTACAGGGTGCGCACCCTTCCTTGAGATGACCCGCGGCTTTCTAATACAATTGGTATTCTGTATTAAAATTTGTTTACGTCACCAGTCATTTACGGCGAGCACTCCTTAGTGGTGCACCCCTCCCCCCCCCTCCTCTTAGAAAAAGCCTGGACCTGTCTGAATTGGGTGGTAAATTTTAATACATTTTTGTTTGGTTAACCCCTTAGCAACGGCAAGCTAGCCGGAGCGAAAACCCGCATTTTTCAGCTTTCTTGTTTAGCAAGCTTTCTTTTGGGACTGGTTTTCGAGATAGTCCAGGATTGAACTCTAGCTGTTACGAAATTTACAAAGATCACAAAATTTTGCAAGAGAGTTTAGAAAATTGCGAAAATAACTAAAATAACGAAATTTTGCAAGGCCATTAACGAGAAGTGAGGAGGGAATGAAAAAGAAGGCCGAAGAGGCCCTCGACGAAACAGCGAAATATTAATTTATTTCCCTATATTTATAGAGGATTTTCCCCTTCAGCAAGGCTGATATCAGTGGGGGTCCTGATGAATTAAAAATTAAATACATGAGAATACAATCAAACATGAAATGGCAGATATTTGAAAATGTACTATACAGCAATATTACAAAACAGTTCTCAGCATATTCTTAAATTGTGGCAGAGATTTGCACTGTTGTTTGCTGAGACTGGGAGCTCGTTGTAGGTCCTTGATCCTCGATGCAAAATTGATTTTTTTCCTAAACTCAGTTCTCATAGCTGGAAGTACAACACTTAGTTGCTCCTTATTATATAATTATGGCTGTCTGACTCGCTGTGCAGTGTAGAAGGATCTGTAGGTACAAGTCCGATCCCTTCAAATACTTGAAAATGAATGTGCACATGTTGCTGCCGTCCACTACGTAGCAGTGGCGGATCCGGACATTCAGATAAGGGGGGGGGAGGGGGGTGGGCGGTCATCCAGACCCTGAGATAAGGGAGATGCCCGGTCTCCAAAAAAAATTTTTTCGGCCCTTCGGGCCTCAGTTTGGTCTAAAAATAACGGGGGCAGGCAGGCCCCCCGGGCCCCTCCCCTAGATCTGCCACTGTATATGTGTAGGTTCGCCCAGCCAAGTTGTGAGAACGGGTTCTTGCTTGCTCCTTCTCTTAGAACAACCCTCGCCGTTCTCTTCTGAAGCCTTTCAAGTTTCTCTACCAGGGTAGACCCCACACTGTTTCAGCAAATATCACAATAATCCAAGATTGGCAAAATAACAACAACAACAACAAATTTTATTGAAAATTGGAAAATAACTGATTACATTACTTTCCAACCCGCAAATAGCTTATAAACTAATCGAGGTGGGGGCAGCTGAAGACATATTACAAAGCAAGATTTATACATAGATGGACTAAATAACAGTGAAGACACTACTATACAGTAAATAGAATTTAAACTTACATAAAACAAGGCAAGTACATAACGATTACGAAGAGAGGCTAACCTAAAGTATTAAATAACTTAATAAGACGGGAGACTTCGACATAATCATCTTCTAACCGCAAGAAATTTAGTAATAATTCCTTTATTTTTTTACGAAAGGACGAACGTTTAAGTATTTTAATCGAATAAGGAATAGAGTTCCAAATTTGGGCACCGATTCTCGTGGAAAAGGCATACATTTTATCGGTTCTAGAAAACTTAACATAAAGCGAGTCGCTAGAGACAGATCTTGTTCTGTAGTTGTCAGTGGGTGAGTTGTGAATCTGACTTGTTTTAACAAACTGATTGAGTATACTAACTGGTGCTGTCTGTCTGTTGATATCATAAATAGATACAATCTCTGAAAAATAGGCTAGGCAGGGGAAGGCAATTTGATTTGAGAAAGAAGGGAAAGGTGTGTTCCTTAGACTTACTGAAGTAAATGAGACGTAAGGCCCGTTTTTGTAGAGTTACGATCTTTCTTTGAAATGTCAAGGCACAGTTTCCCCAACCACAAATACCATAAGTCAAGTAAGGGACAATTAATGAGTTGTAAACTGAAAGTAAAACACGACGCGGGACATAATGTCGAATTTTGGCCATATTTCCTATCGACTTGCTGATTTTGTGACAGATAGATTCGATGTGGTATTTCCATGAAAGATTTGAATCAATCATTAAGCCAAGATATTTTACATAATCTTTCATTTCAAGGTTTGCGTAGGTGTTAGTCACGGAGTCAAGAATTCTAATCCTAGGTATGAAGGGCATATTCTTTTGCCGGAGACGAAAGATTACAAAGTTTGATTTTTTTATGTTCAAAGACAGTTTGTTGGCCTTTAGCCATTCCTTGACGTTGCCAAGCTCGTGTTTCGAGTTCCCGTAGGTTGTCATTTGCAAGTACAGTATTATACTAGTATCGTCAGCAAAATATAAAGGCTTAGTAGACGGTATTGGCTGCAGATAATGTTAGGTGTGGTCTGGCCCTGCAGAGTGGTCCCTACCGCTGTGAAACCTTCTTAGCCAACCTATTCACGTACTCATTCAACGTTAGACCATTGTCTGTCGAAAATTACCAAAACTACGAAAATTGCGAAAATAATAAAAATTTACGGCATTCATGATTTCGCTTCACCAAATCAACAGGGTTGCAAAAACATAAATTTTTCCTAAGCCCAGCGATAAGGACATGTATCCACTCAAGCGTAATATCAATGGTAATTTACGAAATTTCATGATTTATCTTTTTAACTACTTTTCTTCGTAACCTGCTGCGATTATATAAAGATTTCTCCTTCAAAATCTTCTAAACTGGTCGTGCTTAAACCCAGTTCTTTAGTTCAAATGGAGAAAGTTTCGAGGCAGTTACTAGGCTAGAATATCACTACTAGACCCTAGCCTGTCTGGGTTGCAAGACGGCCGGGTATA